GGGGGACGACGGTAGGGGCTCGGTCTGGCCAGGACCCCACTGGGTTGTCACAGGCCAGGGTGCACAGAGGAGAGCCGGTGGGGTCGGGTCGGCATCGCCGGTCGGGGACAGCACCCGGGGGCTTGTTCGGGTGCCCGGAGCATCGGTCAGGCTCTCATCAGCCCTTTCTCCTTGTCTCCCCTCTTGTCCAGGACAGAAATCGTCAGTCTCCGGAGGTCCCCTCATCCAGAATGTGCACTCGTCCAAGCGCATCCTCTTCTCCATTGTCCACGACAAGACAGGTCCGTATCCCGCTCCGGTGTTGGAGGCGGCTGGCAGCCACCTCTTAGGGAGAGGTTTCCCCCCAGCCCCATCTCTCCCAGCCATCCCTGTGCTCTGCGGGGACCTGGAAGTGCTGGGGGATTTTTTCCCTTTGCTTGCTGCAACATTTCAGCGTCACAGCTTCATCCCTACTTGGGTCCGTCCTTGCCATCTCCACGATGCTCGGTCCTCGAGCGCTGCCGGCCGGCTGGGAAATCCCATCTCTACTTCGTGCATGGGGAACCGAGGCATGGCTTTGGGTGAGGCCGTTTGCCCGAGCTGCAAACAGCAAATACCCGCCAAAAGCTTGGCGCTATTTCAAAATAGCTGAAACCCACTAACCCCGCTGCGATTCTGCAGCGGTGCCCGGGGGGCTCAGCAATGGGGAGGAGACTGCGCCATTTCCCCCCCTCCATCCCACCCAAGGGAAATGCAACCTAAAAACGCTGATGTGTTTACATCAAAACCCTCGCCTGCGTGCGTTAAAAAAAAAGAAAAAAATATGGGTGGGAATGTTGGAAAAGAGAAGGAGATGAAAAAGCTCCTCTGTGAAATGGCCATGCCTTTCAAAGGTTCATTTCAGGTTGAGTTTGCTCTGTCCCAGAGGGTCTTTCTTCTCAGGGTTGAGAAGTTTTATGGGGTCATTTCTTAGGAATCTGCTTTGTACATGCATGGCTGCAGAGGAGGTTGCCTGGGGCTGGGGCTGGGGCTTGGGAAGCCCAGACCTTATCTGCCAGCCTGGCAGAATCTGCTCAGGAAGAGGGAAATCATTATTTTTAAAGAAGCAAAGTCTTGTTCTTACTTCCCAGCGCTTCATGCGAGTAAAGTGCATCTGCTGTGTACGAACCATATGGAAGTTCCTTATTTCTTATATTTTGTTTTGATAGATAAGTGGGACAGTTTTATAAAAGAAACTGAAGATATCAACACCCTTAGGGAGTGCGTGCAAATTCTGTTTAACAGCAGATATGGTGAGTAGGAGTTAATATCCCATTATGCATCTGCAGCACTTGTGGTTTGCATATCATTATATAGCAATCATTTTTGTTCCCTAACACAGCAGCAGAAGCCATATGCTAGAGCTCCCTTCTCTTCCTAACACATTTAGCCCAGCAGCTCCCAGTCTCTGGGTGTCTGCTGAAGGTTATGTCAATATTTCCATTTGGAGCCCCCGCTGCTGTCGAGGAATTTATAACTGGGCTGTAAAACAGCCCCGGTTTGAAGTGTGGCACGCCGGGTCAGAGCGCCTGGGCACCACCGGCGCTGGCAGGCGAGGGGGAGCAGAGGCATGTGGCCGGTTTAAATTAACGTGGCAGGGGAAAAGAAGGTTGTCGTTACTGCAGCTGCTTTTTTTCCACCTGCCCGGCTTACGGGCGTCTTTGGTGCTCCCCTTGCCACGGGCAGTGATTCTGGGTTAGTTCCTGGGCGTTTGGGTGGCTGTAAGCTTAGGAAATTGCTCGGGAACGGGCTGACGGGCTGGAGGTTGTCGCCTATACCATCCTCATGAGGCTGTGTAATTCATGAGTTCTATACGGGCTATAGATGAGCTCTGTAACTTATGACCTGCGTATGTGCTATGCAACTCGTGAGTTACATAGCTCAGCAACCTGCTGCCGTCACGGGGAGGCTGGGGACGGCACGTGGGCCAGCTCGTCCCTGGTTTGAGCAACGCCGGGTACGTTTGAGGGTTTTGGAGGATGCTATCAGCTGTGGTTGCTGCTGTGTCGTCTCTCCATTGTCCCGTGTCCCAGCGGCGAGCTGCTCCCGGGGCTCGCCTTCTGGAACAAGCAAAGGAGAAGAGGGCAGGAGGCACTCCTGCTTTGAGTTCAAGCCTTTACACCTTCATTTTATCATCTGTAAAAGGAAAAGCGTGTGTTTAAGTGAAAACCATGTGTTCACCTTTCAGCCGAAGCCTTGGGGTTAGACCACATGGTCCCCGTCCCGTACCGGAAAATTGCCTGTGACCCCGAGGCGGTGGAAATCATCGGCATCCCGGACAAAATACCCTTCAAAAGACCTTGCACCTACGGCGTCCCCAAACTCAAGCGGATACTGGAGGAGAGGCACAACATCCATTTTGTCATCAAAAGGTGGGTGGCGAGGAGGGCAAGGGAGAGTGCACGGTCTCGAGGGGGCTCGGGGATTTAAGCTCTGTTCCCTCCATCCTCACAGGGTTTGCTTTGATACCCAAAACTCATTTTACCCTTTTTTATGGAAAAGAGCTAAACAGCTCTTTTTTCCCCCCAACCTCGGTTTTCCGTCTCTCTCTCCCTTTTTGCGAGGATGTGGCAGGGCTGGCCATGGCACGGTCACCCCTGAGCCCCACCACCCTGTTGTAAGTCCGTGCAGACATTGCCGGTGCCACCCTAAAATGGGATCCTCCGATCGCAGCACAACTCTCTCCAATGGCATTTGGTGGATGGGAGCGATGCCTCCGGGTGGGAGGAGGAACATCCATATTCACGCTGCACGGGGATTCCCCTCCGCCTTGTTTTGCGGTGATCACTTACGGATGTCCTGTATATACGATGATGAGGACGTATCGCCTACGGGCAGGGCGTTGTGTCTTGGTGTCTGTGTTGGCACTGGAGTAGGAGGAGTGGATGCTTTCCTGGTTATCTCTGCGCTGTGCAACCCCTCTTTTCTTCTCCATCAGAAAATCTGCTTTATAATATATTTATTTATTCGGTCCCTGCCTGTGCAGCACTTGTGTTGTTCCTCTGCCAGAGGTGTGAAACTACGGTGTAGAAAATGCCCAGCTAAGGCTCCCAAAGGGGCTAAAATCATCGACATCAACAGGACTTAGGCATCCTAAAAGGAATCAGCTTTCCAGATGTCGGCTGGTGGAGGAGCCGCTTTGTCCCGCACCGCTCGGGCTGCGCTGGGCTGGATCAGGCCCCGGGATGTGCCCCTGAGCACGCTTTGCTCCCATGAGTACCTTTGCATAGAAGTTGTGGGTGGCTCCAAAATACAGGATTTGGGAGAAAGGTGACATCCCCAAGGGTATGTGTGCCAAAGCGGGAGAGTGTAAATACTGCAGCTCTATGCTGGTGGCATGTGGTTGATGGTCTACATCGTGAAGTGAAGGTCCAGCAACAGCTACTTCGGTCCCATCGTCTCTTTTGGTAAAGCCAGCCTGTAGCAGCCTCATTTAATAAGTTAATTAAATGAAGAGAATGACTTATAAGCAGATTTAAAAGTGCTTTAGTTAAAAAGCATATGCTGTAAGATTGCTTGGTTGCACAACAGGCTAAAAGGCTTTTTTTTTTTTTTTAGCTGAAACATTCATTCCCTTTTTTAGGGAATTAATAAAATTACTGTTTTGACTTGGTTTAATGCTGTTCATTAATAAAACCTAAAATTCAATCATTAGAAGCACCTATTTCTAATCTCTTTTTTTTCCTTTCCTCCTAGGATGTTTGACGAGAGAATTTTTACAGGTACGTTCTCCACGTCCTTTGATTTATTGCCCACAAAATTGAAAGATTATCCAGAGAGGCAGAGTTGAAATAATGTCACCTGTAAGCAGGAAGAGTGCAGGACGTGCAGTTATGCTCAGTGAGGAGAAGCCTTGTCTGTGCCCTGCACGCAGGCGTGCTGAGATTGCCTTTGCCTGGGATCGGTGCAAGCACTGTGCGCCCCTTAAATAGCGTTTTGAAAGTTTAAGCGAGAAATCCCTGGTGCGAGAGGCTGGGCTGGCTCCCTGCACTGGGCTGAGCTGCAGCTACCGGCAGCACATGGCATGTTCCTGTGCTTTCAGGAGGAAAAAAAATCATTGCTGGGTTCCTCACTGGTAAATTATTCTCTGTTTTTGGCTGGGAAGTGCTAGCATCATCCAGCTGCTGACTTTTTTAAAAAAAAAACAACAAAAATCCATTTTTTCAGTGACAAAACCCTGAGAGGGGGTTTCTTTGGCTTTCTTTGCCTTGTGTTTTTCCTCCTTCTGGTTTGAGCTGGAGGCCAGGCTAAGTGCTTCTTGGCAAATAAGAGGAGATAGGTACTGGTACGGTCTGACCCAACCCTCGCTCCAGCAGCTGCCCCCGTCCCACCGCCCTGATACCCGCCTGAAATATGGCACTGCACCCGAATTTGTCACCGCCCAGCCCCGCTCCTGGATTGCCTGAGCTTGGCTCGCAAGTAAAGACGTGCTTTGGGGTGGTGGGTTTTTTTTTTTCCCCAAGCCGCCAACCCCGCACGCTGGCGGCTTTCCTGACACCACCTTCTTCTCTGACATCTCCGCTGGCCAAATTAACCCCTGTGGCCCTGCGACAGCCCCGGCCCCAGGGGTGCTCCCTGGGGACGATGATGCCGGAGCCACCCAAAGGGGACCTCCAGCAGAGCCTGGAGGGGGTCCCACCTCCACGGGGGGGTTTCTTTGTCTCCGTCCCCGTTAATGACTTTTTTTCTCAAGAAAAGGACTTTTTAAGCTCTAACCCACCCCCAAGGGATGGAGCACTGAACTGTGTCTTGGGATGCTTGGGTTTTCCTTGCAAATCCATCACGGTTGCACAGGATCCGGGGGGAGGCATCGTGTATGTCTGTACATCAGCTCGAGAGCCGCTGATGGAAAGCCCCGTGCTACGAGCTCGGAGGTTACATGGCAGAGAGGTACAAGTGGAAATGAGGAGATGAGGAAGCAAACCCAGCAGGACTGGGGAGGATGGCAGTTCCCCCTCCCCTGCCTGGTCCCTGCAGGGCTACCAGAAGCAAAACACATTAAACCTGGCTTTTTGTATTCGCATCAGCACATCTGACTGTGCAAAAAAAAAAAAAAAAGCATCTGCTGAGTCAGGAGGTGCCATTTTTGCAAAGACACTATTTTCTGAGTGGAGCTGTATTTTAAGTTGCCGACTGCAAAGTATCCCAAGGCTTCCCCGTACAGTTTTGCTCACCCTTTAATTAAAATACCCACCACTGCTAGGAAACCTATTTTTGCTACTCCCCTGGGTAGCAGCTTCAGGCAGGCTTCGCTGCTACAAGAACAAGATTTGGTCCATAGAAAGCACAAATTAAAAGGAGCCTTTTGGACCGTCGGTAGATAAATAGTGTCTTTAAGGCTCTGTGTTGCTGCTGGTCCCATTGCCAGAGCCCTGCCCTTCCTTGCAGGCTGGAGCTGAAAGGAAAAAGGCTTCATGTTCCCACGGATGGGATGTGTTTTGGAAGGGTGGGGATATCACGATGGCACTTTGAGACCAGCAAAAGGCCTTTGGCAGCAGCTATTTAGCAAGACACCTACATGGTTTCTGCAGCCTCGCGGCGTAATTTCATTCCCTCCTTCCCCCAGCACTAATCCATCTCTTCGCTCACCTTCCCTGCCCGATTTTCATTTCCTACCCTGCCTTCAGATCACTCTTTTCATCTCCAAGGTCACTGCTGAGGCTTCGTTTCAGCTCCTTTCAGGTTGCTGAGGAACAGGGAAGGAAGACAGGAGGTTTTTTGTGGTGACAGAATGCTTTTGTTCCCCTCCGCGTTGCTGCAGCAGAGATTTCTCCCGTTGCGTGCAGGGTTCAGAGCTGCGGGATGGGGCTCCCCATGGCACCGCTGCTCTGCGCTTTGCCGAGCTCCCGTCCAGCGCAGCACGTCCCCTCCCTTGGGACAGGGGTCTTCTTGCTCCGGGGCTTGCTCCTGCAGCGCTGGTCCATGGCCCTGGCTATACCTGGCTTTTCTGAGCCTGGTCCCCACCTCTCTGCACCCTGTCCCGGCAGCCAGCCCTTTCCAGAGATGCTCCATCCCTGGCAGGGCTTCCCAGCACGCACTTAGTTATGCAGAGGTTTAAGCAAGTGTCTTGCTATTATTTTAACATGTAAACCAAATTAAATCTGCACCCTTCTCTTTGCAAGCAGGTGACTCTTGAAAACCTGTCCCCCACCCTGACCTCAGCTCTGGGACTTAGAGGGGGAAGAAATGGAGGTGGAAAAGCTGCATCGTCATCGGCCTCTCTGGTTGCTAATTCTGGTTTTGCTTTTCCTTCCAAACCTGCCCTGTGCATCCGGCACCAGGAAGCAAATTTACCAAAGATCCAACCAAACTGGAGCCCTCCAGCCCCCCCGGGGAGATCTCCCCCGAGCCGCACCGCGGGGCCGTGCTGGACCTGGCGGGGACCTCTCAGGCCAACAGCAGGTAAGTGGCACTCCCGTCCCCCCGGCCACCGCAAAGTCACATCCCTCCGAGAGTTATTTTGGGGGCGTTAATGTGGACAGCAGGTTATTGCTGTGCTGCCGGCTCGCGTGCCGGCTGGGAAGGACGGGCATGGGAGGGTGCGACGGGTGCAATTCAGTAAGCTGCAGCACTGGGGAGATGTTGTAGGTAAGTAATGTGGTGGGAAGGCGAGTGGCTCTAAGGGCATTGCTTTCCTGCCTCCCTAAAAACCCACTGCGATGGTACAGCTAGCCGGCACAGGAGGAGACCGAGCCCCCCCATCCTTTTGCGAGCCAAAATAGCAAAGTTTGGAATCATTGATTTTGTACAAAACTGATGAATTTGGGGACATGCCCGGGCAGGCTGGGATTATCTGCAGAAGCGATCTCTGGTGTTAAAGCATGGCCTAAGGATTCACCCTCAGCCGGCACCGTAACACAACATCCTGCTCATTAAGTGTTACTTGTTTATAAAGCTCACAGGGAGGCTAATAGCAGATTAACAGATGTTTTAATAAAGGTGGAGTTACAGAGTTCAG